ATTGGTATAACATTTTTTTGTGTAAAACAAATTAGCATATTTGTATCCTGGAATGCTAAGATGATGGGATATTGCTAATAGGAAATTATTTGCCAGTTACAATACTTCCTCACATTCTTCCTCTTTGTACAGTACATTGCATTCTTTTGAAAGTTGAATATCAATAGTTAGTAGTGAGAATGGAGCTTTACAATTTGAATATTTTTATTCTTACTCATTATTTTATCATGTTAGTTGACTAGATTAGTTATCTAGGTAATTGGTAAAATCAGTTGAGCTGTGTGTCCAATAAAAAGACCCTTGGACACAATAAATTAACACAATAAACTTTTCATTAAATTTGATTTGTAGCATATCATCTATTAATTTCCAGAACTCATTTATTTTCTGTGCTGAATCTTGTTTTTAGTGGATTATTGCCAAGATACATTTTTTCCACTTATTTGAAACCATCCAAATATTATTATTGCTATTAGAACCATCCTGTACAAAATAGTTTTTATAGCAGAAATAATATTGGGGTGATCTTAAGAAGTGAAAAAACATAGTATAATTTATATTATTCTTCTTTCTTTTCTTGTCTTCCTCCTCTTTATTTTCTCTTGTAGGCAGACAATATTTATTTTTACTCTCTCTATCATTTTGATTAATTTAGCACTACTACTTGTTAAATATCCATAATATTGCGTTTATATAATAGACACCACTTTTTTGATGGCCAGATGGCCGAGTGGTCAAGATGGCAGCCTACTGCTCTGGGGGACCTGGGTTCAAATCCGGATGGGTTGATAAATTCCCAGGAATTTTTCGGGGTGTGGTCCATTTGGATGTGTCGTGCGAGAGGGCGCTAAACGGCTTGTCAATGGATGCAGGAAAATTTTGTTCTGTTTTCGGATTGAGTTTTTATTGAAATTTTTACTTTAAGCTCCAAGTGTTATATATTTCTGGATAGCATTTTCTGTGTGGATTAAGAATCTGTTAAGTTTTTCAACCTAGAACATTTTTTTGCAAAGTTATTCATTTTTGAAAATTGTGAATATTTGGTCTTGATTTACCAGATTCTCAGCACCGATTAACTGGATGATTACTTGCATCTATGATATGGATGATTACTCACATCTATAACGTGAATACATGTATTAAATTTGTGGTCCTTGGATCAAGATTTAAGGATTTATCGTTCACTTCTGGTCTATATTTGACAGATTGTACAGGCTTCTGGCTTGTTATCTTTGAACAATATTTGGCCATTTCTTAGAGAATACCAAATGAAAATTATCCTGTTAATTTGAAGCTCATTAGTACAATAGATTTTAAAATATCCTAATTCTACTATTTTTAAAAATTTTCAACATTCTTCTACAATGACTGTCGCCATAGTAACGGTCAATGATGTTTACCATAGAAGATTCCAGAATTTTTACCGGAAGTTGTATGTTCTTTCTTCATATTATTAATTTTTTTAGAAATTATTAATTTTAAAAGTTATTATCCTCAGTGATGGCGATTGGCACTATTGAAGAATTTCTGGAGGAATCTGAGGAAGCCATTCAGGATTTAAAGAGATATTTCCGTAATAACCCAAAAGGGCGATTGGGTACTGAGGAACATATTAGATTTATTACAGATAAAATTATTACCTTAGTGAAGAGCACCGAAGAAGTAATTAGGAAAAATACCATATCAGATTTCCTGCTTTAGAAATTTGATTTGTTGGCAACGAAAGAGGATGTCAAACAGCTGCTTGTTGCTCAGAGTGAAAAAAATTTAGAGGCTATTCAGGAAGTGAAACAGACTATTTGTGACTTCGAGAAACCTCCACTTTTAGGGGTGGAAGGTTCTCAAGGGACTACTGCTCTGACATACAGAGATATTTTACAACGCAATCTTAATTCTTTGAAGAATACACAGTCTGAAAAAATACACTGTTCTGGTTTACAATGATAATAAAGAGAACACATCGGAAAAGACTAAGACACTGCTCACTAATTCTTTTGATCAAAGATTGCATAAGATGCCTATCAAGTGTATTTGTAAAATTAACAAGGATGGAATTGCTGTTGATTTTCTTATCAGAGAGGAGGCTGAATACTTTCAGGAACAATTAGACAAAATAGAAGGATTAAAGGCACGAAATGCAAGACGGTACCTTCCTCTTATGAAAGTGACTTCAGTCCCCAACTCAATCACCAAAGAGGACCTATTAGAATACCTGCTTGAACAGAATTTTATTTCACGGGAAGTACATGATGGAGGAGTTTAAAAAGGTTTAAACATTTGATTTTCAATCAAACAGAGAAATGACGAGTTTTTATCATGGATGTAAGAGATGTCACCAGAGGTTAGGACAATGATTAAAAAATAAGGATATCTTTATGTTCAGTGGAAAACGTGCAATGCTTATGATTTTTTTCCTGTACGACAATGCTACAAATGTCTTGCTTTTGGACATTTGGCGGCAAGTTGCCCATCACCGAAGAAAGTTTGTAGCCATTGAGGTGATGATCATTTGTTTAAGACATGTACAAAGAAAAGTGAAAAGCCTAAATGTGCTACAGTAATTGTTTGAGGAATTCATAGTGCTACCTCTGCTTCTTAGCACAACTGATACAAGCAGATCATCACTTCTCTATATACATTTGTGTTTGCTGACTGTAAGAAATATGTAAGATTCATCATCTTCCCTCTGTTTATGGGTTTAAAGTGTTGGAATTGATACTTACAATTACTAGCTGTGTGGACTTTGTTTTTTTGACTTGTATGCATATTATATATGGACTTATGGGATTCTCAAATCTTTGTCTTACAAATTTTCTGCACAGGATAACTGCTGTTAAACACTTATTGTCTGAATTATTGTATTTACTGCGACCTTCTTTTGTGAAAATATTCCTGCAGATAAGTAATCTGTTATATGCTGCAGCATGCTGCTGCATATTTTGTTCGGGTCTTTTATTGTCATTGTGTTTTTATTTATTCATTTTTTATTTTTCTTGTTTTGTTTATTTTATTTTTTTTATTTTGTTTATTAGTGCATACTGTAACTTGGTGGAACTATGTAACGGATATGCTCCTGTAATGCTCACTGCGGGGCAGGACTTTGTACCTTGTTTTAAATGTACAATTAAACTAATGAATGAATGAATGAACGTTGGGCCTGACCCTCACCACCCAGTCATCCCATTGTGGGCTTACTAAAAGAGGCCTTCTTAGTGCCCACAGGGCGGAAAGAGTTAAATATTTATATGTATATATACAGTAAAGTGTCATTTATCTGAAAGCTGGTCAACCGAAACGTCGGTTCCAGTTGGCAAATTTAAATTTCTGCTAGTGCTGTGGCACTGCAGTCTTTGGCTATGTCTTCGGCTACTCCAATATATTTTTTTTTTGTTGGTGTGTGTGTTTTAGCTGGCAGCACTGGCACTTTTGTGTAGTGTTTTTCTAAGGACTGTATGTCGGGACTTGTGTTGTGCTGAATCAAACGCTTTTGATACTGGATTAACTTCTAAAGTATAATTTTTTTTGTTTTTATATTTTTCAATATATTTATTTTGTTTGTAAAAAATAATGAAATAATTTTTAACGATACAATAGCCACAATTATTATTTTAAAAAGTTTACTTTAGGCTTAACATCGATGAAAATTCAACGCGGAGAAAAATTTTAACATGGGATAGGTTAATATATTTTTTCGTACATAATCGGTTATACGAAAAATAAGTTATCCGAACAACCCCAGTCCCCAATTGATTCGGATAAATGACGCTCTACTGTATATACATACACATACCATTTCTGTTTATTGCTTGTGAATGCCCATGTCTTTGCATTCATTTATTGCTATATTTGGCATTTTATTTTATGGCTGGATATGTGTTGTTATTTCTCATCCTTTCATACCTGACTTTGAGTACAATAGTGAAGTTTCAATAGATCATATTTACTAACAAAAAATTGTTACAAAAATAATAGGATTGCTAGATTCAGTTAAAAATTGAGAATATATGTAATAAAAGATAGTAGACAAACTAAAGCCTAAGATATATCATTGAAAAGAAAACTTAATTAATTGATTGTCATTTGATATTAATGATCTTCAATCATTTGTACATGTTCAATCATCAATGGTATATGATCAGTGGTGCTTGCAGACTATAGAAAGAGGTGGGGCACAAGCCGTAAAAAGGACCCCTATCGCTACTTTAGAAGAAAACTGGCATAACTCAAAAAAGTGCGATTTTTCAATTATGTCATAATCAAAATGAAATGTAGTAAATTTTTATGAGGAAGAGTGTCACAAAAGTAACTTGCATATTTAGCCACTAGTGAGCAGTTATGTAGGAGATAAGTGATATTCAATTAAACTTTGCTTAAATATTTGCATGGAATTTTCTCAAAACTAGTAATTTTGAGTTGTGCCAGTTTTCTTCCAAAGTAGTGATATATTCTCAATTTTTAACTGAATCTAGCAATCCTATTATTATATATATATAGCAATCCTGTATATATATATATATATATATGTAAAAGTATCCTTTAATTAATGTAATGTAGTTAATTAATTCCTCAATGCTACCATGTATATCAAAATTACATTAATCAAATATGTACTCTGTACTTGATTGAACAATCATCACTTGCTAGAAAAAATTTTTGGGTAATAACCAATATTTTAATTTCACTTTTGTTATCAGTAAAAAGTTTTCTGTGATAAAAATGAGTAACTGATTTAAAAATAAAATGAAAGGGAGCTCTAAGGTTTTATTTTATTTTTAAATTATTGTAGTATTGTAGTATTTTTAAATTATTGTAATATTTAAGTAAAGGGCAACCCATTGACGAAGAGGGGCAACCCATATAATGTGCCCCATTATATGGTGCTCCTGTATGTGATGTTAAATGGTATTAATGAATATGCTTAGATTGATAATTATTATTAAATATAAATTAATTATGTTCTATTTGTTAATTCCCGACTTATGATAAAAAAATTTTTCTAGTTCCTAATATTGTGGTCCAAAGTGGAAGTGGTAATAACAGTTCTGGATCTGGGAATAGTGACATGGAAAATAATGCAAACAGATCACAAATTAGAAAACAAGATGATGAAATTGATGAAGCTTGTTCGGTACCTTCTCCTATAACAATACATATAGAAAACAATACTGAAAATAATTGTATTGAAAATGGGGAAAATGATAATGAAGTGGATGATGTAATCCTGGACTACACAGAAAATAAAAATAATAAAAATCACATTTTGAAACAAAGAATTCAACAGAAATTCTCAAGAGAAGAACGAGGAGAAGTAAAAGAGAAAGGGCAGAAATTTGGAACCAGAGTAAGTAAAAAATATTTAAAAGATTGAGATACATGAACATTGAGTGTTTTAGGTATTTGGCATTTTTAATGACTTTTTCATATTAGAATTTAAGATTTAACAGATCTTTTTAAAATAAATTTTTAAATAATTAGCAAAGACGAATTTACATTTACAAAAAATTTTTAAAAAATTCTTTGTAAAAATAACATCTCTTAATCAGTTTTATATTACTAATGTAAAGTTATTCTTATAAGTACATAATGCTTTGCTTTTGGGGTTTTGAAAACATTTTTGTAGATAATTGAGACAACAATCAGCTAAGAGCATAGATTCTAACAAATTTATTAAAGCATTTTTAAGTATAGAAACTTCTCTACAGTAATGTCCAAATGCAATTATAAAATGATGGTAAGATTACTATCATTTTATAATGTATATTGAGATTAAATTCAAAATAATCAAAAAATAAGAAAAAGGATGCTTGGAGTGGTTGAGGAAATGTATGTATTGAACACAAGGTTAAAAGCTCGTTAAAAACAATCTATAGGTTTGGATTTGGTATCATAAATTACAAAATTAAATTTTCTACAGAACTGGACAATAATTAAACATAAACACCTTCCAAACCTTAAATCAGTCTAGCACAAGGGTATAAACTTCACAAATGTTTATCATATATGAAGAGGCCAAAAGATATACAGTGAAAACTGCTTAGGCGACCACCTGCATTCGACGGGCACCTGCCAAAACGGGCAAAAATTTCTGGCACGGAATAGTTTATCCATAGAGTCTTCGTATAAGCTACCTGTATTAAACGACCACCTGTGTAACGCGACCGTGGGCATCGATTTTTGGTCCGAAACAACATACAACACCTGTAATAAGCGACCACTTTTGTGAATGTATTTGGTCTAAACTATTGTTCAAACCCATTTCAACAAAGTTTCCACCTCCTAATGTAATGAATTAGTCTAAACTCTCGTTCAAACCCATCCCGGGCACTTCTCCCACCCTCGAAATTAGGTGCAGGTGTTAATTAATAAATTAGTCTAGCAACAAAGAAAATTCATTTCAGTATGTTGGAAAATGTCCGAAATGCAAAGTGCTGTCGTTAGAAGATCGTATTAAAGTTATCACAACAGCAATTAGCGGCGAAGTTTAACTGTGGGAAAACAAAATTTATTTTACCCTAGACCTACAGTATTTTCCTTGGGGGTGTAAAATATTGTACACGATACAATTAATCGGCTGATCTCATCGTTTGATAAAATCTATTTTTATTTATTTATTTTGAAGCTCATATACAGTACACGTGCGATAAATAGTTTCTGTATCAACCTACCTTATTTCCACGATATTTTTAGAAAAATAATATCCAAGTAATTTTCGCAGGCAAAATATTCAAAAAACAATAAACGCATTAATGCAAAAATCAGTTTTACTTCCTTTTTCGATTCCGCGATTGTAATGAAATCGTATAATGAGAAAAAATAATAAAATCGTTTTATTATTAATTAATAATTTTTCTTATTGTACTTAATTAATTAAGAAAATATTAAATATTAAAAAATACAGTATTTTTAAAGTTAAAATAAGATTAAACTAACGAAAACCAAAAGCAAAGTGATGGAGAGATAGGACGCGCTTGTATATTGATGACGTAATACACGTAACTGAGGAGCGAACGAAAAGAACCGAGTCGAATTAATTAAGTCGGAAAAAAGAAAGTGTGCATTATAATCGAGATAATGCGACTATTGTATTAATCTTTAAAATATTAGTGTTAAATCTGTCTTATAATATCATGACAACTCCTGTAAATCAGGTTATCCGATAAGAATAAAATACAATACCAATATAGCCCTATCGTTGAAAAAATTTGCCTATTTTTGCTCACCTCGAGTTTTGCTTAGTAGAAATGGCTAAAAAGTGCGCAAAATACGTACAGAAATACGGTATTACAGCACCACCTGTATTGGACGACCACCTGTCTAAAAGACCACTTTTTGAAGGAACTGTGGGTGGTCGCCGTAGACAGGTTTTACTGTATTATAAAGAAAAGAAAGACAAATAAAGTCATTCAAAGACAAATAAATTCATGAAGTCAAAATAATAATATGTGTATGTGCTGACAAAAACTAATTTTCATAATAATTTTGCATATATTTTAATATTTAATTTTTTAATATAATTGTAATTTTTTAATCAGTAATAGACATTTGATTATTTTTAAATTTTAATATAACATAAAAAATATTTAAAATATAACTTAATTAATGTGCTTTCTTACCACACTGGGTTGTAAGAAAGAAAAATTGTAGGTAGTTATTGGTTTGGAGTATATTAAAATATAACTGTTATTCAAATTATAAAACATTTTTTACTATAAACAAAGTTTCACTGTAAGTCCTTTTTACAATTTTATAATTAGACAGTTCAATATTTAAGCATTTTTTTTTTTTGTTTTCAGAAATCTTGTGTTAAAAATTTTTGTATATATGTTCTAGAGATAGAGGCTAGTTGTCTTAAAAATGACTGGTTCACACTGTTATGGAATCTGATGTAAGCATATTGCAAAACTGACATAATTGCTTTCTTGCTATCGTGATGTCAGATTGGACAATAAAGGAGAATGTTAACATGTTTTGGAGTAAAAGTTAGATTCAGCAGCAGTAAGCAGAAAAAATAAGTATTAATGACCAATGTGAAAGTGCATTTACAATTGACATTTCATCAAACACCAAATTTAATATGGTTGGCTTATGTTGTGGCTACATGCAAAAATCCTCTTTCAGTTATATAATGCTAGTCAAATTAATGAGCAATAATAGTTTGTCATTTGGAAAGAACATCCCTCAAATAAAGATTTAAATCTAAAATGGTGATGCATCAGCAATGAAATCTGCAGGTTTGTTTAATGTGAACTAGTATATTGTCCATTCTTCCTGAATTTGCACTACATGGAAACATCAAACTGCATCATACTGTGGTAATGAAAATGACAGCATTTTCATTACCACAGTATGCTGCTGAATGATGTCATTTCTGTCAATAAAGTTTTACAGATTCTACTAGAATCTGTAAAATATTTATTTAAATAATTTATTGACAAAAAATAGCAAAAAACCTGTTTTTAGTTTTAATTTTAACTGCTATACTTTGGCTGATTGTTGTCTTAATTACTTGATTAAGAAGTTAACTTTCAATTTTTCGTCAGCATGTTCTTAGCATAAATTGCAAACTAATTTTCACTTATTTATTAATTAACTAAAACTGTTTTTACTAATTTGATGAGAAAGAAAATTTTCACATTAATAATGCATTTTTAAAAAATTAAATATGGACAAATTTTTCATTTATTATGACTAAATAAATGAGAAAATTTTCAGAAATATTGTATTAATATTGGGTTGAGTCATAAATAAGTTCTGTTTTCTAAAGTGAAATTTATTTGCCAATAAAATGTACAATAGACTTTAATCTAATACATATTACCATCATTATTAATGACTTCTTGCCATTTTTCGGGCAACTTGTCAGTTCCCCTCGCATAACATTCTGGTGGTTTTGAATCAAAAAACTCCTGAACTTGGTCATCATTTTGGAAGCATTGCCCTTGTAAAGTCTTCTACAGTGTCTGGAAAAGATGGAAATCTGTTGATGGTGAATATGGTGTCTGGTGAATATGGTGGACATTGCTGCCATTGACCATTGACATTGCAAATCTTTTTTGCTGTTTCTGTAGCATTATTGCCGAGTTTAAACTCCCACAACACAGCATGTACAACATGATATGGCATACATGCACTTTCAAATGTTCCATTTTAAATGAGTTCAAAAACAATTTTTTATTACATTATTGACACTTCAGTGTTAAAATTTACATTTACAGACTATGCTAATAGCCACTAATAAAACTCAGTTAAAGCAACACAACATCTGGCAAATATTAATATTTGACAGTCATTTGTGGTTTTTAAACTGGAGTCAGATGGTTTAACACAGGAATTATTAAGCATCAAAGTGGTTGAACTAAATCTGCTGACATATACATTCTAACATTCTAGGCGAGAACATCTTAACGGGTTTCACTGTACTATTATAAAATGACAAAAAGCTTACTTTTTAAACTTTACCCATTCTGAGATATTATTTATCTCAGAACAGAAAATAAAGAAATTAAACAAATTAGATGCCAACACACACAAGCACGCAAATTTTTCCTCTTTTATTGACTTTTTGGGGGATTTGGGAGGTCTCCAAACATGCAGATTTGCAAAAAACTTGGATGGTCAAATTGGCATGATTGAACAGAAAAGTATTGGAATCATTCCAATATTTTTCCATTTTATATACATAACAAGTTGGGAAGTAAAAAGGAGTCAGAGTTGGCGGTTTTTTTGACGACTCTGACTCCAACTTCGACTAAAACACCAAAATTTCACGACTGTGATTCCACAGTCCTGTTTGTAACTCTAATTATTTGATAGGAAGAATTTTAAAATCAAAAATTTTCATTATGAACATAAATACAACAATAACTATAGATATAAAAATACTGCTGGATTCTATTCTGGATTATTTTTTACTTAGAAGTAATAAATTCAGTATGTAATTTAAATATTTATAAGTTATTATCTATCAATACAACATATTGCATATTAAATTAATTAAACTCTAGCCTAAAAATAATTAGAAAAATCTGACAGTATTTGACACTTTGATTTCTGTATGTATAGAATTTTTTTATTATGGTTTAAAGAAAAATTATGAAAAACATTAACTATATTCAATGTAAAATGGAATATAGCAGAAAATATAGGAAAAAAGCATAAATTGTAACTACATAGTTACAATTTATGCTTTATTCTTCACAAATTACTGGGTAATTAATTAAATACAAACAAAACCTTTTATCCAGTAACAGCACTTCAATGAAAACTTGAACATTTTCGGCCTTCACCAAGGCCTGCCTCAGGATTTTTAATGAAACCGAATTTCCAAAGTCAAGTGTCAGA